GCTGGCTGGGTCAGCCTGGCTACCCTGCCAGGACCCGCACCCAGGTCCCAGAGGGCTGATGCTGTCTCAGCGAGAAGAAAGGACATGCACCCGCAGCCCCTGGGCCCAGCGCGCCCACACCGCGTGTTACAAGACCACGACTCCTGTGAACCCTGGGCTCTGAGCAGAGGGACACTGGCCTGCCGGAGGGTGGCCTTGCTGGGGACGGGAGAGCTGGGGCCATGCTGCCTCGGACGCAGTTCGCTCTCCTGGGTCGGGTCAGAGCACACAGGCCACCCTCCCGCAGGGCAGGAGAGCCGGCCAGCAGAGTTGGGGTGTGGCATGGCCCGAGTGAGGACTCAAGGTCCCTAGAAACCCAGGTGTGGCCTTCGAGCCAGGTGAATGCTGACGGGACCTGGAACCGGATTCCAGGGACAGACTGTGGACCCAGAGCAGAGCTGAGCGAGGGCCCGGCATTTCGTGTTGAGTCCTAAGTGTGGAGGGCACTTACTACTTTAAAATGAGATTTAAGGCAAGCGGGAGTCTCGGCCTTGTGAAAACTGGACGCTCCGGCCCCTGGCGGACGTCTGGTGGGCACAGACTCTGGGCACCCTCAGCTCCCACCCCACGCATGCTCTTCTTGGCCCTTAGGCCCGGTGGGGCTTCACGAGATGCTCGTGTGTGTGTGTGTGTGTGTGTGTGTGCAGGTGGCTGTCACCGTGGGGGCTGCATGGCCACCGGCACAGGACGGGTGTGGGCAGCAGCTCTGCGTGGCACCTGCCGCTTCTCGCCTGGCCTCGTCCTGGCGCCGAGACCGCACCTGCGAGCCCACACCTGCCTCGCCCCTGCCCTCCCCAGGCCTACCAGGTGACGGCTACGTGCTCGCAGACACCCGGGGGCCTCAGGACTACGAGGAGCACCTCTACGTCAACACGCAGGGCCTGGACGCCCCCGAGCTGGAGGGCAGCCCCAAGAAGGACCTGTTCGACATGCGTAGGTGGCAGGTGGCCTGTGGTCTGGGGGGACTGGCCTGCTCCCTCCCTCGGCTCCCACACGGCGGCACTGTCCTTGGCTCTAACGGCCCGCAGGTCCCCAGGCGACGTTCCTAGGGGCCTCCCTGCCCGCCGACATTCTGCAGGGCTGTGAAGCCCTGCTCAGCCACCTGAGAACAGACGTCTTGCAGGGAGGTCAAGCCCGCCAGCACACTGGCCATGGCTGGGCTGGGCAGCCCTCGGGTGGGAGGGGGCTCGAGCCTGGCTCCAGTCTGCGGGCTGTGCCCTGGGGTGACCAGGCCGCAGAGGCCCCACCGGGCAGAGCCTTCTCTGTCTCTGACTCCACCTGAGCCCACTGCCCGTCGCTGACCCGGTCCCTGAAGGAGCATAAGCTGCCCGGTCCGGCCTGCATCAGCCCCAGGGCCAGGAGTGCGGCCACTGGGCCACGGCTGACCGGAGCCCTGCCTGGCTGGCACCGCACTTCGACGTCTGGCCATGGCTGGGGCTCGGAGGTCGTGCCCGTGTGGCCTGGCACCTGTCGGGAGCTGGTGGAAAGCCGGCAGGACGGTGCTGGCTTTTCTGTACAGTAGGGCGAGGAGGCCATCTTGGCTCGCGGGACACGGGGCACACGCAGTGGGAGGGAGCCACGGGGGCGGCCGTGGCGGGGACACCTGTGCAGATGCCAGGAAGACGCTGGCTATTCTGCACCAGGGCTCCTGAGCACTGAGATTAGCAAGGGCACCTGGGCTGCCGCGGTCTCCTTGGGGCGGGGGCAGCCCATGAGAGCCCCTGCCCTCCTGCAGCGCCCGCCCCGGGCAGCAGCTTCCACGCCCGCTGTCCTCTGCCACAGGCCCCTTCGAGGACGCCCTCAAGCTGCACGAGTGCTTGGCGGCCGCACCCCTGCCCTCAGAGGACCAGTGGCCCAGCCCCCCGACCCGCCGGGCCCCCGTCGCGCCCACTGAGGACCAGCTGCGGCAGGAGCCCTGGTACCATGGCCGGATGAGCCGCCGGGCCGCGGAGAAGCTGCTTCGGGCCGACGGGGACTTCCTGGTCCGGGACAGCGTCACCAACCCTGGGCAGTATGTGCTCACGGGCATGCACGCTGGGCAGCCCAGGCACCTGCTGCTCGTGGACCCTGAGGGTGTGGTAAGGTGGGCACAGGGCAGGCGGGGCGGCGCCCTCAGTCGGCGAGAGTCCCGCACCTCCTCGGGCCCCCGCACTCCCGCCTCAGCCAGCCGGGGTCTGGGCACACTGGGCCTCCCGCAGCCCCCGCGCCTCCGAGGCTGGCCTGCGGAACTTTCCAGCATGAGCCCTTAGGGTCGCATTTACCAGCTGTGGAGTGACAGGCGTTTCCAGTTTAGGGAGAGCGTAAGGCTCACGAGGTATCTCCCAGTCTACTGTGTGTGCGGGTATGAAACCTTTTCCACTCGCAAGTCCTTTCGGGGTTCATGAAGCTCTAGATTCCCTTACCCTGAGAGCCGCCCTCAGGGCCGTCGCCCCTCGGTGTCTGTGGGCTCCCGTAGTGCCGCAGGTCCGGGCGCACGGCCAGGTTACAGGAGTGGGCTGGGGCCTTCTCCAAGTTTGCTGAGCACTTTCCCACCACCCAGTCCGCATGCCCTGGGGTGCACATGCTCGCCTGCGGGGTGCAGGTCACGAGGTGGGCGCCAGGCCTCGGCCAGGTGTCTGCCTGTCCGTCCAGCTCCAGTCTCCCCGCATGCCCTCTGGCTGGCGTGAGGTGTCAGCTCCTCCCCACCTGGGGGGGCTTCTGAGCGGCCACCACGTGGTGTCCAGGTGCACAGCCCGGCCTCCGGGAGCGGGGGCACAGAAGGCGGTGCCTCAGCCGGTATGCAGCTTCTGTCCTGGTCCCGGACACACCCGGAGCCCAGCTTCACTGGCAGCCGTGGGGCCCGGCCGCGCTTTCAGAGAAGCTAGGGTGTCCATTCCTGAGATGCAGGTGGTGGAGAGGGAGGTGCCAGTCCCACCTGGCCGACGGTGAGGCTTGGGTCCCAGACCTGGCGGCGTGTGTGAGCGTGCCCACAGTCCTGGAGGGGTGGAGGGAAAAGTGCGCATTGGAGCCAGTGGCTGAGTCGGCCGCGTCTCCGGATCCTAGGGCGTGTGCGTTCCCAGGACTGTCGTGTCAAACCACCCCACCCGGGGCTCCCGGCAAAGCCCCTCGCACTCAGATCTGGCCCCCGGGCAGCCTAGGGGCTTGGGTGTGGCTGTGCCTGCCCCTCTCGTGGCCTGCGGCCTCCCCCGTGCGGACACCGGTCCTTGCTGTGGGGTGCTCTGGGTGACCCAGCGTTAACCCGGTTACACTGACACTGATTCCCAAGGTGGGCAGGTTCACAGGTCCCGGTCGCTCGGCCGTGTCCCTGCAGGGTTCTGACTCCGCAGCTGACTCTGTGGCTGAAATTCTGGCGGCCTCTGACCCCGTGGCTGTCAGGCTTGGGCACACATCGGATGAGGGATGAGCGTGAGGGCTGGTTTCCCTCAGCAGGTCGGGGGAGGTCCGAGAGGCTCCCCCTGGGACGGCTCCCTGGAGGCTGACGCGGTCCCGGCCCTGCAGGTACGGACGAAGGATGTGCTGTTCGAGAGCATCGGCCACTTGATCGAGTACCACCTGCAGAACGGGCAGCCCATCGTGGCGGCCGAGAGCGAGCTGCACCTGCGTGGCGTGGTCTTGCGGGAGCCCTAGCCAGGTGTGTGGCCAGCTGCCCCTCCGGCTCTCAGCTCCACACGGACAGTTCACCGAGCGGCCCCTGCGTACATCACCTCTCCCCGACCAGAACCTTCCCTCTGCCACTTGTCACCCCACTGTGCCACGAGCCCTCCCGGTCCTGCAGGCTGCCTGCTCACCCTGCGTGACTCATGTCTGGCGCCATCACTGGGGGATGTGGCCACAGCTGTAGCCGTGCCATGGGGACGGACCGTGTCTGCTCACGTGCTGAGACGCGGCCGTGGACACCCACGCTGCCCTTCTGTTGTGGTTCGCACGGGTGTGTGAGCTTGCGGGGAGGGGGGCACGCCGCAATCCCCTCTCCGTTCTCCTCTGGTGCTTTGTGCATGCACACACATGCCCTATGTGATTTTCGAGCCGTTTGGTCCGGGACTCGGACTACAGTCAGCCGTGTGGGCCCAGTCCTCACCTCCACGCCGCCTGCTGGCCCGTGCACGGCTTTTTGTGTGGATATTTGTCTCCATTGCCTAGGTCTTCAGGAAGTTAACAGAAAATGCATGTTTTGAAAAAGCTGCATGGATTTAAAAGTTCTGTTTGTACGAAAACACAGAGTGCTTTAATGTCAGGGTTCTTCCCCCACCCCTTTAACAATGTTTGCCGCAGGGCTTGTGTGGCCAGCAGACAGGGGAGGGAAAGGCTCTCCTAACGCAGGGTCAGCCTGGTCCCGTCCCCACTGCCCGCCTCATTGGGACTGGGCACTGACACGCTGCACGGGGTGTTCTTCAAGCCTGCGGGTTGGGGTTTGAACCGCGTTGGCGGGGCGGGGTCTGGCTTCCGTGACCTGGGCCACAGGCTCGCCTCTCAGTTCATTTCCTGAGCTTTCCCGTCCCCTGTGCTCCCTTGAGTGGGGTGGTGACGTGGGGCTGCCAGCTTCACTCTGGGCCACCTGACCTGGGTGGGCCCTGGGTGCTGGGTCCTGCACAGCAGAGGGCGGGCACCTGGCTGAGGAGGCCAGGGAGGCCAGGGCCCTGGGCAGGAGATGCATTGAGGGGCCTTAGCATCCGCAGGCCGGGGGGATCGGCTGGGCTGGGTGATTCTGGGCCTCCATGATGACAGGGCTCTGGGGCCGGAGGGACGGGCAACCGCAGAAGGGGGTGCTGCCTGGGTGGAGGTGGGAGGAGGGTGGGTGAGTGGCCTTGGTGGGGAGGGAGGAGGAGCTGGGCGGCCTGGGGCTGTGGAATTTCCCCGGAGCTGCACCCCAGGCCAGGCCGGGCTCTCTCCAGTCCCCATGACAACGCTCCTGCCTGCTCCCTCCAGAGCAAAAGCAGCACCTCCTCCCGCAGCCTGCCTCACCCTGCCCTGCCCCCAGCCTGTGTGGGTAGGGGGTTCCAGCCTGGGAGCCCTGAAACCCTGCCGCCATCAGCCCTCGGGTCCTGTTCTGTGTGCCCTGCTCTGTCCTGCCCAGGGAGGACACGGAGGGTGGCAGCTGGCAGTAACAGCTCTGTCCCCTGTCCTTGCCGCCTCCCACGGGCCCTGGGCAGGCAGTGGGCTGGCGGTCTCGCTTGTGGAAGGGGGAGTAGCACCTGCCCGTGGTCGTGCAGCGATAGCCCGTGGGCAGACTGGAGCCCACCCCTGGCCCTGACTGGTCATGTGACCTCCCCTCCCCTCTGTCCACAGGTGGTGGCCCCTGACAGCTCCTGGCTCCTGCCCCCGACGCCCTGCTGCGGCCTCCCAGGCTCTCTGCCTTCCTCGCCACCTGGGTCAGGCCGGGACTGCCTCTGTCTCTCCTTCCTCAGCTGCCCTGGGCAGGACCTGGACACCACCCTGCTGACCCACCCTCTGCAGGAGAGGGTGTGCACACCAAAGATAGCACCTCTTCTGCCTTCCGGGAGATGCCTGCACAGCAGCCCTCCCCGCCAGAGCCTACCTTAAGGCCCCTGGGGCCGGGCAGGAGGCCCGTCTTCTCTGCCGGCCGGCTCAGCCATGTCCCTCGAGAGCTCGGGCGCAGCAGAGCTCCTGCCCCTGAACTGGGTGCATGGTGTCCTGGGGGGACTTTGGGTGCTCTGGGTTCTTGGGCTGGTTCACGCCATGGCTCACGTGTGTGGCAGGGCTGGCTGCCGCTCCAGGACAGC